AGATTGACCCCATGTCACTAGTCAATCAGCTTACTTTGCTCTGCCCAGACTCAGACTCCATGTCTGCCGTGGGAGATACCGAGACAGGTTTAAGACCCAATACACCCTCCACTTTCAATTCGTAATCCCTCCTCGCCGGCTGATGGCTATAGCCACGGCTTGAGGAAAGGCTATGTGCCGGAAGACGGCTAGAGCCGCATTCCCGAACGTGCACATTTCATTCATCATGCAATTGCACTTGATACAAGATTGGCATTGAATGGTGTATTTTCTATAAGGGAAAGTTGGGTGAACTTTCCTTAGTCATGAAAAGTAAAATCTATTCAGTGACACCACTTTCTGTTTTGAGTTGAATAAACAAAAATTGAGCACAGTACACAGGCTTTCGTTCAGTGTAAGTGCGCTCATTATTGATGGCTACGCTCGGCTGATCACACTGGGCTACCTGTACAACACGAATGCACCCTCAGTGTGAATACCAGCGGGCCGGCAAGATATCGAAAAAAGTATAACATCCTAGACAGGTTAAAGTGCAAACTAATTTTAACTGAACACAAAAAACAGTCTGGATATTTACAGTTATTGTACAGTTAATCACAAGTCAGTCACAAGTCCATCATACGTCCAGCAACATGTAGATCACAAGTCACTTTAACATTCTGGTGACATTAGCAACCGTGAGTGAATGCAAGCGCGAGTGAAAAATTACAACCGAATGCGCTTACCACGGTGATTTAGCTGTGACTGAATGACTTGTGATTGACCTGGGAGACTAGGGAAGGACTTGTGATGCACTCATCAACTACAAGACTTCTGGCGATGGGATTTACAGGCACCTCTTTGCGGACATTCTCTATGGCCCCTTTGGCTTTGTCCAGATTGAGTATCTTGTCAGCTACAGCCTCCTGTGTGCTACGATTGACCGCAAGCTTCACCCTGGGGAGACACAACACAATAAGCATTATCCATTAAATGCTAAACATACAAAGCCTTGTGTGGTTTAAATAACTCCCTAGGCCCTTTTTGCTAGGAACCATCCTCAATCCTCCAAAATTGTGCACTTATGATCAAATGAAGGATACCCACTGCCCCAATCCTTCAAAATCGTTAGACAGTCCTGCCTCAAAAACATCCTCCTCCTTTTCAAACACCATTCATCCTCAATTGACCTATCGCCGTTTGTGAGTTAGCCACGCCCCTTAGACAACCCTATGGAGTTTTGGTACACTTACTTTTGTTTGTCTCAGATTTTGCGGGTTTCGCATCTATTTGTATAACATGTAATTGGACAATATTTCACAAGCTGCGTAGATGCGATTCTAATGCGATTCTACCGCAATAGGTCAACCCTCCAAAATCCTCATGTGCTTCAACACCATTCATCTTCAATCCTCCAAAATCCTTATATTTCTCAAAAACTATTCATCCTCAATCCTCCAAAATCCTAAAAAAAAAACGCCAGGAGGACTTTGGTAGATTGAGGTGGGTTAGCTAGGGTTAATTTGAAAACATTCATGAATTACACCCACTGAAATTTCAAAAGAATATTAAAATTACATTTAACAAACATGTAGGCCTATATCTGACCAGGAAAAGTTTCAGGTCTGGATTAAAGGGAATGTACATCATTGGCTTTTGCTGTAATTATCAGAAATGAACTACTTGAGGGGTAAGTATAATAGATCAAATATTGTTACACTGACATGTTTGAAGTTTTGTGTTTGAAAATGCTGTAAAAACTAAGAAAAACAAAAATGTTTAAGTAGTCTGGTTCCTTGACTCCACTAAAGATAAAATGGATCAATTTATAAATGCCGGAAAATTGTAAGGTAAGGGAACCAGTCTAGCTGGCTTGCACCCGTTCATGAACATGTAACCAATAGCAAACAACATTTGGACTGAAAAAAGTGTAAAGTTGGAGCAGTAGTTGAAAAATAGTTAGGTTTTTCCAACGGTGGTCAGCCGACCACCGTTGGAAAAACCTAACTATTTTTTTAAAAAAGGGAATTATAGGAATTCAATTTTCTTTAAAAATATCAGTAACTAATATGAAATGAACGAAAGAGAAAATAATAAAATATAAAATGACTTACGCTTTCATTCAAAAGAGAATGCACTTTTAAAGTATAAAATGAGACATTGTTATTATAGCGTAAACTTCCTGTCATATGGCCGTGTCCGAAACGGGCTTCCAGAGCTACGGCTACGTCTATTGTCAGCGCGTCCCCGCGTATTTTCAATGGGCGCAGACCTAGACCTAGCTCTAGACAACTGATTCGGATGCAGCCTATAGAATGCAGCCGATCCGTTAGGGGGGCTCTCCGTTAGGTTTATACCCTCCGTTAGGGTTGAAGTCGGCCTGAGCTAGGGTTATATTACTGTAGCCAGTTAAGTCTGAATATCATGTACATGTGCATCAATAATGCACTTTGGATGAGGCTATGCCCTGTCCAGGCCTTATTCTGTTTACAATCCAGAAAACTGTCTCCCAAAGCTATTTTTTGTCTCTCTATCGATTTCTCCGACGAACGTAAACAAAAAAAAACTATATTCAAGTCCCCCGCCCGCATGAGTACTGGAGGCCGCCATTTTGAAATATAAACAGATTGATTTTTATCACCTGACACAAAATGAATACTTATAAGATCAAGAATTAATGACGGACCTCAATTGTAGAAAAAAAATCGAAAAAAAATGATGCACTGGCCGTTTATGAGGTTAAATGTTCAAGGCCAGTCTATAGCATTTTGCACAGTTTTAAACCAGCACACATACGGAATCTGCAATGTCTTCAGAAATAATGATAGCATCATTTTAATTTAGTTATATTGTTGCCAAATGTGCGTGGGTGTGGGTGTATGGGTTGTTGGCTGAGCGCATGGGAGCATTTTTATTTTGTTTGCTTGTTTTCTTTGATTTTTGTTTATTATTTAAATATTAAATTCCTTTGTGTGGGGTGGGCGTGGTTATCTTGAAAAGGGTGGGGAGGAAATGTTTCATGGTAATTGAAGGTTTTACTTAGAATGCTCATGTCTTTAAAGGATACCCCCATCCACCCCCACCCCATCCCCACCCCTAACCAACCACCCACACCGCGTACCCCCTTCAACAACAACAACCACCCCCCCCCCCCACCACCACCATTCCAGTTAGGGTTACGTTTCACAAAAGTTGCCCTCCGTTAGGGTTACGATCCGTTAGGGTTGCCTCCCGTTAGGGTTACGATCCGTTAGGGTTGCCCCCCGTTAGGGTTACGATCCGTTAGGGGTGCTCTCCGTTAGGTTTATACCCTCCGTTAGGGTTGAAGTCGGCCTGAGGTAGAGTTATATTACTGTAGCCAGTTAAGTCTGAATATCATGTACATGTACATCAATAATGCACTTTGGATGAGGCTATGCCCTGTCCAGGCCTCATTCTGTTCACAATCCAGAAAACTGTCTCCCAAAGCTATTTTTTTGTCTCTCTATCGACTTCTCCGACGAACGTAAGCAAAAAAAATATTTATTCAAGTCCCCCGCCCGCATGAGTACTGGAGGCCGCCATTTTGAAATATAGGGTCCACTGTACTAATTCAATCCCCATTGAAAACAGTGTAAAATCAACAAAGTTCAGGGCCAAGTAACATGCAAGCCAACATCACTGGGGTTTCTGAAACAAAAAATAAATTATTGTCTTGTCTTTCATCTTTTCATTTCTTTTCAATTTTACGTACATTAGCCAATTACATTTTTAAATATTCACACCCAAATAAAATCACCTCCCGAAAAGTGATAGTTCCCGAGCCTGCATGCAGCCATTTTAAGAGTGGCACCCTTCCACTTTCACAGGCAAATCGGACCCATTTTTTTCATCCGTGATGAAAAGCCTGCCCTCAGATGGAAGCCCCAAAACCAGGGAGTTGATCCTTGGGTATATTTAAACAATTCCACCGCTTTTAAAGCCAAACGGTCTCCGTTTTCAAAAGAAATTGTGTGTGGGGGGGGGGGGGTCACTTTTTATGCTAATCAGCTGGCGTAGAAATTCTCGCTTGAATTAGTTCACTGCACCCTTAACGGTCTCTGTACTAACTTCCGTACATTTATAATAATCGGAGTCCAGTTACAAGACATGTTCGTTTGGGTATTTTTAGGGCGCCATCTATTGCTGTCTAATTGCAAGGTTTGTTGCCATTGAGAGGGCGCTCTTCACAATATCTGTAGATTAAGAGTACAGTCGTACGAAGTGGCCAATCAAAGCAAACAAAAAAAGTTAAAAGGTCGCAGGGTTTATAAACAAGATCGGGTCAGGGAAAACCCTGGGGTAAAGGTTTATAATATAACGATAGAACTTGATGACAACCGCGGTCCGGGGGGCGGGGGGGGGGGGGCTGGGCATGGCCCCGTTGGCCATGGCCCCATTAACGTCGCAAAAAAGTCAATCATTACGTACACCACCCACAAAACTCAACCAAAGCAATACATTTCCACACCTTCCTTTGCTTTTCATATTAAATTTGCAAAAACGGCGGACCTAGTTATGTTTGGCACCCCTCCCCCCCCCCCTAAAAAAATGTGTTGTCATGATCCGGCCTTGCGTAATGACAAAATCGCGGCTTTGACAAACAAAAAATTGCTTGTTATTCTTGTTTTGCGTAGCAACGCCTATAAACGTTGAGAACTGCTTGTTATTCTACCTGTGTTTCATTTTCAATGGAGAAATCTTCTGTGGCCCTATAACCAAACATCTTTCTCATGACATGCTCATGACAGTTTGTCAAATGCCAGGCCTGCATCATCAAAGGCACAATTTCTCAAAATAATAATGTTTAATATGTGTCCCACAAACATTACTAGACGTTTGGCTGTGGCCATATTGGCGAGGTGTTTGTTCAACGGGTCTTTCATTCAAGAAAGACGTCAATAGTTAGCTGAATACTGCATGGGACAGTCTGTCGTTGATAATTACTACTCGTGGCACGTCATTTTCGATTCAAAATTGAAAAATAATCTCTTCAAACATCACAATGTTTCATGCGACATTTTTAATCTACGATTATTTAAGGAGTAAAATAAGATTGATCATGCAAATAACAACAACAAAGTCGGCAATAAAAATTCGACAACTTTAAGAATAAGAAAAATATTAAAGAAACAAATTTTAGTTAAAACACGTTGGAACTATTTTGAGACACTCAATCGTGGATAATGATGACAGAAAAATGTAAAGTTTAGAATTTTAAATCTTAAAGGAAAAAAAATGTCCATCATCTCAGTGGTAATTCGTCGGCGGGTAGGTTAAGCATTGACAACTGGTATCGGTTCTTAATATTTCGTTGCAAATTATCCAAGAATGGACTGAATTTATCTGGTGTGTTCGGCATGAATTAAAATGGATCCAGGTTTTTTTATATTCACTAACTTAATATCTTTAATTAGTCCATCCATGAAAATCAGAGCATATAGACTTGCACTTAGACAGTGGAATTGACCAACAAATGTTCTCTACTGATACATAAACAATAACAAGAATTTGAACTTTAAACATCAATAAACTTACATTCTAATGATAACAGAATTTACCAGAAATTAAAAATAATTCGAACATTAAACGACAAAGCAAATTATAGGAGATTTCAAGAGTAAATGAATATAAAATTAAAGCAAGGTGTCCAGTTAATTGAAGCAAAAACTGTTGGAGCCTGTAATCTGAGGATTTTAATTGAAAACTATTTTTGTTCCTTGTTTCCTAAGTGTTTGGAGATAAGTGTGCGGCTTAAGCGTACGCCTAAACCAGCAGATTAGTTCACCGATGGTTGTGGTCTTCAATGGATGTCTCACTATTAACCTCGATACTTGGTCAAAGCCAAATTGTTTGAAAGGATGCGTGTGTTCTTAAACGTGTAAGCCATGAAGGTGTGAAGTTCATTCTCACTGTGTAGCCGGACAGCAGTCCACACCTCGAAATTCAACCGTTTAGTTTTAAAGTGAAACTGTTAGAGAGTGTCCGTTTGGTAGAACAGTTTGGCGATTATGGCGATGACATCGACTTGGTGTCGTTTTGTTCCAGGTTTGATGTTACAAAATTGTTCTTACGAATCTCCGTGGTCGTCCGTTGTGGTGGGATTTACTTTGAAGTTGCCATCTGGCACATGTAGGCTTTCGTAGAGCCGCATGGGTCGTCATTCCATTCGCCATCCCATCCGCTTACCATTTCGGTACAGTCCGCTTCACCAGCTTTGATCCAGGGCTGGCCACTTCTCCATCTGGTAAAGCCGACCGCTGACCCATCTGTCCAGATGAAGTTCCCTTCCTCTGCCACGTCAGTGAAGCCGATCCACATGCTGCTGGATGTAGTAGTCCCACGGACCGACTTCAACATCGTGAGCAGCAGAGAATTCTCCTCAACGCTGGCTACGGACGCCAGGTGACACTGGCCGACTTGAGTGAACTCCTTGCAGTGATTCTCAGCCTGAGCGAAGGTCTTGACGGTGCCGAAATAACGGTAGCAGTTGCCATTGTAGAAGGTCCACATCGGTGGACACTTAGGTGGGCATTTCGACGAGCAGTCTGGTTGAAATGCCGCAGTAAAACCCACCAACAGGACGAAGCACAAGGCTCGCATGAAAGCCATGCTGTTTACAAGTTGTCTTCCTACACCTCTGAGTGTCACAAACCAAATTGCAGTTGCAGGGTGAGACTAAGAGATGAGATGGCATTGCTTATAAACGTTCGTCTGGTCCCAGTTCGGTAAATGTACTTCCGATGTGAAGGCTTCAGTGGCGTTAAGCGTCAAGTGGAGTGTTTTAATTGGCCAATGAAGGTTGGAGGTGTGGCCACGGCCACATCATCACTGGCCTGACTGGACAGTATTTTTCACACCGTTTCATATAGGAAATCTTGTCAACGTTTTGCCATCATACGTACTGTCATCGGTGAGCAATTGAAAGCTTCACCTTCATGATGCGCCTGCATGACTGTGTGATTTTATGAAAGCAGAAAATAGCCTAGTTCACGGCTTTGAATTTAATCACAGACATTTTTACCACACCTTCAAGCTTTCCATAGATGGAGACATGTTCCGGTGTTTGTTTTTGCTCCCTTTTTTTGGTGTCCCATTTACACTAATAAAAATGTGTATAATATTTCTGCGAAATAAAAATATTATTCGTTTCACTAGCATATCAAAATGTATCACCAGTAATCACATGTCCCACTTGATAACGTGTGAAATAATATTAAAAAAAGGGTTGGCGTGCTTGGAACCTTTCTTTTTATTTTGGGGGCTTTTTACTAGGTTTCACACGTAAAAGGAGCACCTATCTTCACAAAATTTAGTTTTATTTAATGACCAATGTTTTTTCTTTAATATCAATACGTCCTTTCTTGTTTAATCATCATTTTGTTGAACCCTAAAAGGGCCTGGGCAGAATCCGCCCCGGCCCCCAACTTTTTCAGCGATAGCCTTAAAAAAAAAAAAAAAAGAATTGGCGACCCGAACTGTTATGACTTTTTAGCCTCGAGTCTTGCGCATCTTTTGATACAACAACATAAAAATCGGACAACGGGTTGCTACGCAGCGAAAAAAATCCCATATTTTCCCTGCATTTTCCCAAATACGTAGTGTTCACAGAGCAGAATTGCCACTCGTACATAACAATAATTATTGAGCCATAATTGCAAAACCCTTTGACCAATAATCATGAAATTTCTTGGGTATGTATATGAAGAGTTGTTCCATGCATGTACTACGTTTAATTTTTTTTTCGTTACTCGATGGCCGAGATCTTAGGGGGTTAGAATCGCCCCCGTCCCCCAGAGTTGAGAGATTTTAGGTTAACATGAGTATTACTAAAACTCTCTTAATTTGTTTTAATGTAAACTAACCGCAATTCAGATTTTTCCTGAAATAAAATAAACCATTGCAAATCCAATCCAATCAAAACCAAATATTGTCTTGTTACGCAATCATTCACAAAAATTGTAATTTGTAGTCTAAGCAAGTTGTTTTTGCAATAAACATTGTTATCCTGGGTAAGACATAACAAAATGCATGTTGAAATAAAGACACTAAACTAAATAGTTGGTCATTTATTTGGTCTCCCTTTTACACATGAAACCGTCGTAGTGGATATTCCCTCCTCTCCTGCCATCTTGCAATTTTGTTTGGTCACTGTGGAGGACTCCCGCCTTTATCAATGTGCAGGTATTAAACAAAGCTAGACCTGAACACCGCAAGATCTTCGACGAATTGAATCCGTTGCTCCATTTATACCCGGCGCACTATACGCGACCCTGCACATGCAAACCAGAGCTGCATTTAGAAATTGTGACGCAGCCTAAGATTTAAAAGTGTGCACGGCTGTTGATTGGTCGATAGCTGCCAGCTACAGGGCCTACGCCTCCCCCCCCCCCCACTCCTGAATAAAAATTGCTCTTTTGTCATTTACAAAGCTTAAAGTAATTAAATTCAAAATTCATAACCAATGCAAACAACCAGAAATATCATTACAATAACAGGCATTTATTTATTCTCGCGCGCCCTATGCCGTGGCCGATCGGCCACGCGCTATGCGTTCATTGAATTTTTGAGCGACGGACTACTAGTAATAAGGGTATTTTTGTCGGCGGCGGGTCACGTGTATGATAAATTTGACAAGCCACGCGCCTGGCACAATTAACGCCAATGTTTAATCTATCATTTAATGGACAATTTAAGATTATACCTCTCACGATTGATTTTTAGCGAATTTTGAAGAATAAAAAGTCTTTTTGTTGTAACTTCCGGTCTGATGACGTCATCGGCTTCAAACTTCACACATGCGTTGTTTGCATGAAGGTCATCATATATACCAATTTTTAAAAGATTACAGAAAATTTCGCCACAGACATCTATTCAAATGCATTTTGGACATTTTACAACCTGCCGCTAAAGGGCACTCTAATATTTCATGACGTCATCGGTTACAGTTTCGAAAAGAACTTTCTTGCCGAAGATTAACATCGTTGAAAGCACGTTCATATCTTTTACAATTTTTAAATTACAAGGCACTTCCGGGTTCGACCGGTTTCGACCGGAAGTAAGGGTCGTATGATTTGACACCCACGAAGTAAATTGAAGACCCGGTATTATTCTATTGACTGCCGTTAAAAACAAGTTCTGGTCTCTCACGGTTGATTTTATATCGATTTGTAATGATTAAAAAATAGAAACACTAAATTGCTTGTAATTTGATACCTGATGACGTCATCATGACGTCAGGACAATATGCACTACTCGGGATCAGGGTCAATATGTGTTCGAAGTTACAAGTTTATATCTTGAACGGTTTAAATATCTTGAACGGAGTAAACCCGCGGAGAATTATTGTCCGGAAAAAGAAAGAAAGAAAGAAAGAAAGAAATATTAATCGGAAAAATTCTAGACAGTGGTAGGGTGGTGCCCGACCACTCAATTAATCGTAACAATAATAGAGAGTGGTCGGGTTGTGCCCGATCACTCAAATTAATCGTAACAACTCCAAAGAGTGGTCGGGTTGTACCCGACCACTCAATGAATAATTTAAGAGATTCATAAACCATGCCACGGATAACTTTTGAAATCTCAAATTACAGGATATCACTTGTCAAACATACCCAAGAAATGTAATGACTATGGGTCAAAGGATTTTGGAATTATGGCTAATTATTTATTCATATGAACAAATGGCAATTCTGCTCTGTGTACACGACGTATATGCGAAAATTCAGTTTTCACGGCTAAAAAGTCATAACATCTAGGGTCGTGAGCTGTTTTAAAGGGCAAAAGAAAAAAACAGCTCGGGTTGCGAAAACATTTTTTTTAGAGGCTGTCGCAGAAAATGTTGAGGGGAGGGGGCGGATTCCACCCTCCGACCCCTTTAGGGTTAAATCGCTTGTAATTTGATACCAGATAACGTCATGATGACGTAACAAAATGTATAACATCTTCGTAGCATGGTACAAGTTCTCACAAGTTTTGTATAATTGTACCGTTAACCGTTCTGGGTCTCTTCCCGGCAGTGTCAGGGCTACCGTAGTAGTAAGTACATTTCTACTGATCTTCCTGCCAGCAATTATTACATGAATGCGAACGAAATGTTCAAGGGCACTGACTTTCATTAAGGGCACTGGCTTTCATAAGCTGTCATGCCAGGAAAAACACTGGCAAGGATTACGTATGGTAATTTGAAATAATACTTATAATCAAAAATGGCCTTGCTTATAACGGGTTCATGATCGATGAAAGATTAAGTATAGATAGTGATATTGTAATTGCACCCTAATGCGCTTCTTGCATCAAAGAGTTCTGACGGATACTTGGATGATGAAGAAATTCCCTAGAATTGCTCAGGTGGTGAAAATGACGGGGAGGGGGGGATGGGTATGGACTTTTCTCTATCTTTTTGTCCGTTTTCTCGCTTGTATTATATTCATTGAAATCTCGGAGTTTACTTTGGAAATATACCCTCTCCATACACTTTTCAAAATTGTAAGTATTATGTTGGCCTATTTTAACGAAAATGACTTTTTTTGTTCCTCGTTCGGAGTTTGCACTTGCAAAGAGATCCGCCTTGCCAGCAGACTGGTTCCTCGTTCCGAAATCTATGGAGGTTAATGGGACTGAGAACAGTCATCACTGCACTAACTAAATTACAATCGAGCCGACAGAGTTTGAAATTTGTTAAGTGTATATTCCATAACTAAGCGTGGTCCTATTTCGTCCTTCGATTTTTTTTTTTTCAAGATGGAATATCTTAACAATGTCTATGATTGAAAACAGCGATCAAAATCAGTTTTCTCCGGGTGTAAATCGGATATAGAGTAAAGTACATCTTCGATTTTACAAAATGCTTTGAAGAAATATACAATTTGTCCTTGATACCGAACTTATACGCAAGTATGAAAACATGGTTTCTTTCGCCTTTCGTGGACAGTCTATAAAGAATGCCAGCAATTCCGACAGATATGTGATTAACAGAAGCGTGTTGCTGCTAAATCAGCTGGAAATGGCTTCGGGTCGTAACCGATGAAGAAACAGAAAAACTAAAACTTTGACGGAGGGATTGCAATGAAAAAAAAAGTATGGCAGTGAAGTGACTGGGGTCCTATTTGCATGAGACACTTTACTGGAGTGGGAAACTCAAGTTTTTTTTGCCAATTAATAAAGAACATCCTTCTTTTAACCTCTGAATTCTAAGCTGGTGAGGAACGCACGTCAGGCACATATGCCTCCAGTGGGACGTGTGTGCAATTGTTCCTTATTAGATTTTTTTTTTTAGATACACCACTGCCGGAGCCCGTGATCTACATACATGTCCAAATTATTACATTTTTTTGGTATAAGTATTTTCATCCCATTAAATAATAAGCCTACTGAAAGGGTCCATGAAATGTTACCGGGAACATATTTTGTGCATTTTTCTACACTTCTTAAATGGATTGAACTATTTGTCATCCATTTTTGGATTTATTTTTTATTGAGAAGCGCAATTTTATTTTAGCATTTAAAATTGCCCATGCTTTTCTTGACAAATAAGGGCGCTGTACTATGATGTAAATTCAGGAAGACACTATTTAATTTAGGGGTTCTGTTCAAATTGGGAACCCAAACAAATTGCTCACCGAAAACATTTGTGAGAAACTATTGCTCATTGGCTTACTGTCATTTACTGAGACAGCAACGAACCACCAAATACAAGAA